CACTGTGTCACTAGTCACCCCCTTCACTGTGTCACTAGTAGCCCCCTCCCTCACTGTGTCACTAGTAGCCCCCTCCCTCACTCTGTCACTAGTAGCCCCCTCCCTCACTCTGTCACTAGTCACCCCCCCACTGTGTCACTAGTAACCCCCTCCCTCACTCTGTCACTAGTCACCCCCTCCCTCACTCACTCTGTCACCCCTTCCCTCCCTCACTTTGTCACTAGTCACCCTCTCCCCCCTCTGTCACTAGAGTGAGTGACTAGTGACAGAGGGAGGGATGGAGTGATACAGTGACAGAGGGAGGGATGGGGTGACACAATGACAGAGGGAGGGGGTGACTAGTGACAGAGTTAGGGAGGGAGTGACTAGTGACAGAGGGAGGGATGGGGTGACTAGTGACAGTCACCACCTCCCTCTCTGTCACCAGTCATCCCCTCACTCTGTCACTAGTCACCCCTTCCTTCCCTCACTCTGCCACTAGTCACCCCTTCCCTCACTCTGTCACTTGTCACCCCCTCACTCTGTCACTAGTCACCCCCTCACTCTAGTGACAGAGTGAGGGACGGTGTGACTAGTGACAGAGAGAGGGAGGGGGTGACTAGTGACAGAGAGAGAGGGGGGGTGACTAGTGACAGAGTGAGGGATGAGGTGACTAGTGACAGTGATCACTTCCTTCACTCTGTCACTAGTCACCCCCTCCCTCACTCTGTCATTGTGTCACCCCCTTCCTCACTCTGTCACTAGTCACCCACTCCCTCCCTCACTCTGTCACTAGTCACCCACTCCCTCCCTCACTCTGTCACTAGTCACCCCCTCTCTCACTCTGTCACTAGTCATCCCCTTCCTTACTGTCACTAGTCCCACCCTCCCTCACTCTGTCACTAGAGTGAGGGGGTGACTAGTGACAAAGTGAGGGCATGACAGGTGACAGAGGGAGGGGATGACTGGTGACTGAGTGAGGGAGGGAGGGAGTAGTGACAGAGTGAGGGAGGTGGTGACTAGTGACAGAGTGAGGGAGGTGGTGACTAGTGACAGTCACCACCTCCCTCACTCTGTCACTAGTCACCCCTTCCTTCCCTCACTCTGCCATTAGTCACCCCCTCACTCTAGTGACAGAGTGAGGGAGGGGGTGACTAGTGACAGAGTTAGGGAGGGAAGGGGTGACTAGTTACAGAGTGAGGAAGGGGGTGACTAGTGACAGAGGGAGGGGTGACTAGGGACAGAGTGAGGGAGGTGGTGACTAGTGACTAGTGACAGTTACCACCTCCCTCACTCTGTCACTGTGTCACCCCCTCCCTCACTCTGTCACTGTGTCACCCCCTCCCTCACTCTGTCACTGTGTCACCCCCTCCCTCTGTCACTGGTCACCCACTCCCTCCCTCACTCTGTCACCAGTCATCCCCTCACTCTGTCACTAGTAACCCCTTTCCTCACTCTGTCACCTGTCACCCCCTCACTCTGTCACTAGTCACCCCCTCACTCTGTCACTAGTCACCCCCTCACTCTAGTGACAGAGTGAGGGAGGGGGTGACTAGTGACAGAGTGAGAGAGGGGGTGATTAGTGACAGAGTGAGGGATGGGGTGACTAGTGACAGTCACCACTTCCTTCACTCTGTCACTGTGTCACCCCCTCCCTCACTATGTCACTGTGTCACCCCTTTCCTCACTCTGTCACTAGTCACCCACTCCCTTCCTCACTCTGTCACTAGTCACCCCCTCTCTCACTCTGTCACCAGTCATCCTTCCTTCCCTCACTCTGCCACTAGTCATCCCCTCACTCTGTCACCAGTCACCCCTTCCTTCCTTCACAGTGACAGAGTTAGGGAGGGAGTGACTAGTGACAGAGAGAGTGATGCGGTGACTAGTGACAGTCACCCCCTCCCTCCCTCTGTCACTAGTCATTCCCTCCCTCTGTCACCAGTTATCCCCTGGCTCTGGCACTAGTCACCTCTTCCCTCCCTCACTTTGCCACTCGTCATCTCTTCTCTCCCTTCCCCACTCTGCCACCATTAACCCCTCCCTAACTCTGTCACTAGTCACCCACCCCCTCACTCTGTCACCAGTCACCCCCACTCACTGTGTCTCCCCCTCACTCTGCCACCACTCAACCCCTCCTTCCCTCTCTCTGCCACCAGGTACCCCCTCACTCTGCCACCTGTCACAACCTCCCACACTCTTCCACCTGTCACCTTCTCCCTCATACACTCTGTCACCTGTCACAAGTGCATTCACACAGACTCAAATACAAACATGCATTGATACACAGGTCTTCACAATATACACATCCAAAGGAATGCCGTATTATGAGTTATATTTAACATTTATTTAATGCATGTATATTTGGCCTTCAAAGGGCCTGGGATCTAATTTTGCCCGGGGGCCCCAAAGGCTCTCAGTCCGCCCCTGGGTACATTGACGTTGTGGCAGGCTTATGCAATGTATGATCATATAATGTAACTAAACCCCATTATTTTTTGCCTAGATTAGGTGTTTTTAATAAAACTAGCAAAATCTGTCAGCACCAAAGTAGCTGTTTAGTAGATATGGGAGTGCGCTGGATTTTCAATTTTACTGTACTTATTGGCCCTCAGCAGGACCCCATTTAAGCATGTTCAGGTGAGTGCAGCCAGCCCCTTGTTTTCCCATATATATATATATATATATATATATATATATATATATTTGTGGTCAGGGCAATATTGCCGTAAGAGTTGGATAACACATAAATAGTAGTAAATACCATAGTTAAAAAAACAGTTGGTTGTGGTGTGCCGGAACCGACAATGCAGTAGGCCTGTAATAAAAGAGGTCCTTAGAGGGAGTGATGGGAGGGGCAATTTGCCAGACCAATAATGGTATGTGAGAGAGCCTTGGAGACCCTTATAAAGGGGACTGTGACAAACGACTCTTCGCCACTGGCTTTTGGAGTGGCCTGATTGCCAGCCTCCTACCCTATGACTATGGCCCATGGCTAAAAGACATGTTAAAAAGTGACTTCCATAGTAAAATGTGCCCTGCACCCCTTCCCCTTCCCCTTTTTCCTGTCCTCTTGTTTCTCCAGCAGGACATTGTCCCAGGGGCACTGCCATACCAGATTAAACTGGCTGATTTGTCCCTCCTCAATCTCCCATCAGCCCTTGCTATTTTCTGACCCCACCCTTATTTGTACTATAGTGCACTTTTAACATTGAAAATAGACCGGTCAAAAGAGACTTCCAGAAAACTTTTGAACCCCTGCTCTGATCTGGGTGATTTTTGGATATGTTGTTCACCCATATCATGGTTATCCAGGGGTGGGTTCCCAGGGGCAGGACTTAAGGCCATCTGTATACCAGCTGAAGCTCAACAGAAGATGGTTGTTACAACAGGACAATAACCAAAAGCATAGAAGTAAATCAACAACGGAATGGCTTAAACAGAAGAAAATACGCTTTCTGAAGTGGCACAGTCAGAGTCCTGACCTCAACCCGATTGAGATGCTGTGGCATGACCTCAAGAAAGCGATTCACACCAGACATCCCAAGAATATTGCTGAACTGAAACAGTTATGTAAAGAGGAATGGTCAAGAATTACTCCTGACCGTTGTGCACATCTGATCTGCAACTACAGTAAACGTTTGGTTGAAGTTATTGCTGCCAATGGAGGTTCAACCAGTTATTAAATCCAAGGGTTCACATACTTTTTCCACCTGCACTGTGAATGTTTACATGGTGTGTTCAATAAAAACATGGCAACATTTCATTCTTTGTGTGTTATTAGTTTAAGCAGACTGTGATTGTCTATATTGTTGTGACTTAGATGATAATCAGATCACATTTTATGACCAATTTGTGCAGAAATCCATATCATTGCAAAGGGTTCACATACTTTTTCTTGCAAATGTAGATAATACATAAACAGTAGTAAATACCATACTTAAAAACAACATTCAGTTGTGGTATGCCGGAATCAACAATGCAGTAGGCCTATAATAAAAGAGGGCAAAGAAAAGTGTACCATACACAATTTTATTCATTCTACAATACATAAAATCACTTGGATAAGTCACGAAATGTCCTACAAATCTCTTTAACCAGTTCTGGTATATATAAGGTATAAGTGGATGATTTCCAGCATCCCATTACCCTGATGATATGTGCTGGAATATGATTAGAGGAGACAGATAATGCTGCCCCTATGCGGCCTGAGAAGCAAGCAGAATAAAGGCCAAACCTTGTTAAAAGCGTGCGAACAAAGATGGGGGTGGGGGCCGGGGCGGGAGGACAGTAGGTCCCCCCTCATTATCATTATGGCTCACACCCGCCACCCAGGGGTGTGGGTCGGGGGGAGGAAAGTAGGTCCCCAACCCTCATTATCTTTTTGGCCCCCACCCACCGCTCAGGGGTCGGGGCCAGGGAGGACAGTAGGTCCCCCCTATTGTTATTTAGGGTCCCCACCCGCCGCACAGGGGTGGGGGCCTGGGGGAGGACAGTAGGTCCCCCCTCATTGTTATGTAGGGCCCCCACCCGCCGCGCAGGGGTGGGGGCCGCGGGGGAGGTCAGTAGGTCCCCCCTCATTGTTCTGTCGGGCCCCACCCACCTTGCAGGGGGCTGTGGGGGGGGCGCAATAGGTTGTTTAAAAAAAAAAAAAAATTTTACCGTGAGCAGCCACTAGCTGCTCACAGTTTACTAGACATGCCCCTACTTGCAGGATAGCCAGTAGGGGCAGAATTTACTAATACTAAGTAATCTTTACTTAGTATTAGTAAATGTGGCTGAAAGACCAATTTAGGTCTTTCAGTCTTTTGGTAGATAGCTCCCTAATACCGTGGGAATTAGGGAGTTTACTACTAAACAGCTGCAAGATGCAACCACAGCACGGATAGGATCAGAGTTTCATTCATTCGAATGAAATTCCAATCCGAACAAAGTCCCGAATTGCATTCTAACACGAATGGAGAAACTGTTCTCTTTTTTTTAGGACGCAATTCGGCAGTTTTGCCGGCGTTCTGTCTAAGTGACAGGATGTTCGACAATACTGACAGGAGGCATCGTGGGAACAGGGAAGAAAGCTAAGGATCATGGGAAAATTGCTCTGACCACTGAAAAATGAATCACACTTTGCTCCTCCACTGGTCATAGCTGGTCATGGCGTAGGAAACCTCTAGAAGAGAAATAGTCCCTAGTTTGTCTTAATTTTTAAAGAAAACTAGAGCAGACAGGAAGAAATGAAGAACAGATTCTGAGAGAGGGAGATAAGAGAAATCGATTGGGGAAAGGTAAGTTCGGCATGACAGTGCCGCTTTAAGCTACTGCGGTGGTTGTGGTGTCCAGTGCGGTGCTTATGGTCCTCTGCGTCAGCTAGGAAGTGTCCGCCAACGGAGGTGCCCAGTCGGGGTGCCAGATGATCCATTACAGGGACCCAAGCTTCTCCCACAACTACAGGCCCAGCCTTAAATTTGTGGTCAGGGCAATCTTGCCGTTAAGAGTTAGATAACACATAAATAGTAGTAAATACCATACTTAAAAACACCATTCGGTTGTGGTGTGCCAGAACCAACAATGCAGTAGGCCCATAATAAAAGAGGGCAAAGAGAAGTGTACCATTCACAATTTTATTCATTCTACAATACATAAAATCACTTGGATAAGTCACGAAATGCCTGACAAATCTCTTTAACCATTTCTGGTATATATAAGGTATAAGTGGATGATTTCCAGCATCCCATTACCCTGATGATATGGGCTGGAATATGATTAGAGGAGACAGATAATGCTGCCCCTATGCGGCCTGAGTAGCAAGCAGAATTAAGGCCAAGCCTTGTTAAAAGCGTGCGAACAAAGAGCATAAATTTGGCAGTAGTGAGTATGGAACCGTGTAATTCTAGAAGTAGTCGGTGCGGTTGTTTATGAATGGTGCTGAAATATTTGTCTACATATTAACTGGGCACTATTTGTTATAGGTAGGGTAGAAGGGTATGTCGACTGGGCGTCCCATCTGGCTGGTTTTAGAGTGAAGACGTGAAAGGATGTAGTGATCTATAGCTATATGGATATTTATAGTTTTAAGGTAACCTGTGGAAGTTAGATTAATAGAGGTGAACTCTCTTGGTTGTAAGAATCCGTAAAAATCTAGGTATATGGTACCATATTGGTAATAGGTTCGAAAGGTGATGTGTCTAATAAATCGTATAGTGATTGGAACAGTTTATCATGGATGGGTAGTCTCTTAGAGGGTAATATTGTGTCAGATTTCTGTATTCCTTTCAGTAAGGTTTAAATTTGGTAGGATGATAGGAATCATGTTTTGTAAGGGTGTTTAATCACCATGTGCTGTTGAAAACATTGCTTCCCCATTCCAATTTGAGAGAAAAGTGCACCAAATCAGTAAATCAGCCATCACGT